CTAAACATTTTAGGACATACATTTATAGGAAATTTTTTACTTATTTTTATCTGGGGAATGTCAGATAACAATACAAGATTTAATGTTGAGGGAACACCCTATACATTAAATCTTGTATTGAGTATTGTCGACAGTCTGCTAACAAGTCTCTCCACATTCTAACCCCCTGTACCCCTCCGTACCCCCATTGTTTCGTTTCTCTGTGATCTCTGGCAAGACCATGCAAAGTAATTTTCCAACGATCCAGCCGTAGGACTAAGGCCGGGTACACGGTTAAACAAACCTTGAAATTACTCTTTTATTAGATTGGGAGTCGCAGTCGTTGACGACTGCCTGGGCCTCGTGCCGTGTGGCATTATCCCTCTCGTTAGGATGAGGGAGAAGAGTGAGGGGGAGGTAACGTTCTCTGTAGAAAGGACTGGATGGAGACGGTGATGTAACGAAGTTGGAGAATTTAGAATAAACTGGAGGAAGAGGGTAAAAACGAGGCCAGTTGATTTTGTGTCGTTTCGAGGGGTTGTATATACAGGGTGGGTCTTAAATAAGTTTATAAGCAAATATTTTAGGGCTGGTATATTTCGACCCCAGAATATGTCTAGGCATAAGGTTTTCTTCGAGAAAAAAAATCGTCCGTTTTCCAGTGGATGGACTGTTATTCCCTGAGTTTGTATAGGTACTATCCTTTAAATAAAAAGAGTAAGGACGGAGCATATCAAAAATCTTAGATCGAACGCCGAAGAGTCCTAAAATGGCCGACTTAAATTCCGGTTTATCAGTGCCGTTCTAATTTTATTCAAAACGTTTAAAAATATAATGTAGGGTAGAATCAATAATTTGTTGTTTTATTATACGTTGTCAATTAATGTTGGTAGTTATTAAAATTGTTATTAAAATATATAATTCTAATCCACCAAACATCCGATACGCTACTGAAACAGATAAGTCAAGTTGTCGTATCCATAGGTCGTATCTAAATTTTTTGACATCTAATCTTTGACAAGTAGTAAATAAAAGCAAAAATGCAAGAAAAAATATATAATTAGTTAATTTTACGTCAATTTCATAAATGATCGGTTTACTACACGTATATGTATATTATAGGTACATATAGTCACTTACTAGCGAAAAGTTATTCCATTATTTCCTTTGATTTTTGACCGAGATCTACCGCACGCTATACAACTATACAACCAACTATTTTAGAGTATTTTTCGATAAATCGCAATAGTGTCACTGTTAATTTAAGTTCTTCCACAATAAATTTCCTTCTAGTTTACTACCTCTAACTACCAGTTGTAGAATAAATAATAAATAACATAATAAAGCTCAGTAAAGACTTAAAATCCACACAATTTCAAATCAACATGTATTAAATGAATCGTCAAACAGAACTGTCAAGGATCCCTACCTTAGGGTCCATGCATGAATGAGTAGCATTATAGTATTATATTAACTTTTTATTCAAAGGTTCTATCCAGCAAAAAAGGCTCTATCCATACAAACTAGACAAGATCAGTCCTCAAAGTTCAAATGATAAGAAAATTATACAAATTAGTCTAAGATTTCCATCCTGAAAATTTAACCACATACTTTTACCCATAGAATGTCCGAAAAGCCTCATAAGTATATGGCGTTCATACACTCCCGTTGTGTAAATGTTTCGTCCCTCCTCTCAATCGAAAACCGAAAAACGACCAAACATAAACGTCACAGTGAATTAAGAGGACCACGTACATAAACACCCACAGGCGCACTCAAATACAGGTCGATCTAGACCAAACGTCAAAACCACCGCATTCGAATTAGAACCGTGAATGGCAGAAAATTCAATTTGCTGGGGGGAGGGGGAGAGAGAGTTGCTCCCCACAAAAGACGTAATGACCGGTCCGTTGGGGATTCCCCCCATGGGAAAATCCAGGCGTTGAGAGTGACAATTTCGAGGCGGCGAATTTTATTTTTCGATTTGACGGAGAAGTTTATGATATTCAATCTCTGGACTCGTTACCGGAGTGTATAGTGTGCGATAAACTCAATTTGGGGAGATGGATATATGGGGATTTTTAGGATATTGGCCGTTCGCTACTTTAGAAAACTGATATTTTTATATTTCGAGTTTATTTTTTCGTAGAGTTTAAATTTGTTTTCATTTGTCAATGGAATTTGTAAATATGGAGTATTTTATTTGAAAGCTAGTTTTTCCCAGTCAGGGGGGCACAATACGCATAATACTGTTACTATTAAACATACTAGACTAACAAACAACAATAAATTTATTCGTCTATTATATGTTACAGACTAAAGAACTAAATACAGCCAGCAATAAGGTAGGTCTTATAATGAATTTAGCAAAAACTAAAGTAATGTACAACGAACTAGTGGACAGAAAAGACATTCTGATAAATAACGCAACATTGGAAATAGTAGAAGAATACATATTTAAGACAACTAATGCACAGCTCGGGATCTCTACTACCAGAAATCAACCGAAGAATTAAGTTAGCATAAAATAGCAAATAAAATAGTACTTTAACCGCAAGGGTAGATTAAATGATATTTTAACAGCGAGGATAGGTTAAATATTAACATCACTAGTTGAAACCAATCAAAACTCATTTTTCAAGTCAAAATTTTCTCATACAAGCTCTATACACTTCTACTCGTACAATTCTACACTTATTTTTTAAAACGCTTTCGACTTCTTCGAGTACTTTTTATAACAATATCATCGACAATCAACCCAGCTAAGTACTCATAGTTTCCCCTCTGCTCACAGTTATTTCTCACAGTAGTCAATGGGAAAGGAAAAGAAACCAAAGAGTCAAATAAAGAGCTCTTGAAACATAACTATACTGTATAGTTTTTCATTAGGGTATCGCCGGTGTGATTATATAACACAAGTGGTCTAAATGGTACTCTATAAAGAGGGTCCTTTTGTTTCAACAGAAGAATATATTTTAGAATATGTATATACTCTTATAATAATGACATAATATTCCTTATAACTACAGTCAAATTTTTGGTTAAGTTTAAAATGTTATATTTTTTTGGCAAATATGTATATAAATATATCAACTTTAATTTGTAAACTCAGTTTATTATAAACTTTAGTATTTGACTTATTATACAGGGTTAATCAAAGAGTTATTTTTTTACCCTCTCTTTAAAACACCCTGTGCAATAATTTCGTGAGCAAATTTTCCTGAAACATTTATTTTTTATTTATTCATATACATTTCGTATTATTTAACCCTGTATAATAAACCAAATACTAAATTTTATAAAAAACTGAGTTTAAGAATTAAAGTTAATAGATTTATATACAGGGTGAGTTTCCTACGATGTTCTCTATGGGTATCTCGGAAACTACTGGTCTACTGGTCGGTTAAAAAACAGTTAAACTTGATGAAAAAAATGTCCCTTGCGTTTTTTGCAAATCCAATTTTGTAAATTGGACTGGTTTAGAACGCTGAATTTGTTTGTACAGATGATGCCAACATAAGGAAATTAATAACCTCAAACCATTCCAACTGGAGTTCGGACGTAGGTACTACACAAATACATTTCCATTTTTAACATTTCAAAAATGAACACTACTTTATTTTTCGTGTATATTATACCTACACCCGGAAGTATACTCTAGATACTAATCTACAAACCAACCCCGTCCATTAAGAACGTGCATACTGCTTTCTATATCGAATTAAAATAAAAAGTCGTTTTAAATTTGGGAAGGGAGGCTTTATCGATCCAATTCCTTTCTTTGTTATCTTCTCCTCATTGCAGTGGGGTCGTTGTAATTATTTGATACTTTATTGAGGCCTGTTCAGTCCATATTTTGGCACGAGGCAGATGTTTCATAATGGTGTGGCGATTATCGTCATCGGGAATCGCGAGTAATGTAAATCTGAACAAGGTTTGTGCATTTGCATGATGTTTTTTTTCAAGATTTGTCGGTATGTAATTAGTAAATAAAGTAAAGTGCCATTAAAATAAGCCATCAGTATGTAATACTTACTACTTAATACAAATTTACGGCAGATCTTTTAAGCATAACATTTTTAGATCAAATTAAAGGCATGTACTAAAAGAGCATAAAATTGCAGACACTACTATAATAGTACCTATAGTTTTAATTGTTTCGTATCTTTATTAATATTTTTTTTAAACTGTATACAGGGTGCTACAAATTCGTGGTACGAGCATTGGTATCTCGGAAACCGTTGTCTTGGGATGTTCACCAAAATGCCATTAAAAAAGTTTTAAAAATTTCAAGGATTGCTGAGTTTTTTGGTTTGGAAAATCTATTTTATTTTTTTCCTGTCGTTACTTTTATTACGTAATTTGTTTTTTTCGAAATATCTAGTAAGCCATGAACTTTTTCGAAAATCTGAAAAACGCATATTTATGATCCCACAAAACTGCAATTCTTTCCCCATTTAACTGATTCTCTATCTCCAGTAGAGAACATCGTAGGAAACTCACCCTGTATATGTCTAACCAGATCTGTCAAACGATTTCTGCATATGTTACAGAAATAAAAAACAATCTGTCACGGTAGCATTTTAATTAATTACATCTAAATAAAAACTCAGTAATGACTAACAAAGGTTATAACAGTTAATTAAAATAGACAGAAAAAAACATTGTAAACTTCTAAGATAGAAATCTATGTACCTATAAAGGAAATGTCTATTCTTTCGTTGTCACTTCCAAAAATCATCGTTTGCCACGGGTCGTTACCCAAATTTGTCATTTGCATTTTTATTCTGTCAACCTGTGAAGATTTTATCGCATTGGTTCGTTCTAAAGACGTACCTAAGTAGGTAGCACCTGATAAAAATCAGTAGTACTCATTTGGGCTTTTACAAAATATGAATATAACAATAATTTAATGAGCTATGCATTTTCAAGTATTGTACATTTTTTTCAAGCGTAATTATTGGGAAAATTTTATCAAAAATGTTTAACATGTTTTTTTGTTTGTTTCAGATTGAAGATTAATTGTTTATATAACATTGGTTACCTCGTCTTGGAAGGTAAGGATAAATTTTGTGTATATACTTTTTGTGAATTTATCAAAATTCGAAATCATTTATCAAACAACGTGATGAGAAACGACTTTAAACATAATCCATGTCCGTATACCATCCTGGACACTTCATCTGCTTGGTCTGTATTTTAACGCATGCGACAGAGATAAGTATAAATGACAGGTTGACAAAAAGAGAGACAAAATAAAAAGCGGCACATAGTGTTGCCAGTTTTTACCGGTGTAGGAAAAATAATATATTGCAGCTGTAGTAAAATGAATAACTAATTGTGGAAAATAAAGTTCCAATACTAGATGCAACATTTTTCCTTAACGCCTACCTGTGCGGTTTGAAATTTTGATTTAAAATCCGGCAATACCGCATAGAAGAAATGTGTCAACCCAATTTTTATCTCTTTTTAATACGTTTGATTTTCCATTAAGCTGGTTGCATCACTGTCATACACTTTAAATTCCAGACCACGCATTTATGATGACCAGAATGGTATACCGAACCGGTTTCCACTTCCCCATCCACCCCTTATAGTGAGTATAGGGTTTTAAAGTCGGTAATTAATCTGTAGTGGCAGAAAACAAGAAGATTTTTGCTATGCAAATCCCATTTTTCCTCTACAAAATAAAACAACGCTTAATTTTTATAATAAACTCACTCCCTCTCTCTAATAAAGCCACTTCATCAAGCCGTTTTTATTAAAGTCAATAAAAAAGCGTCGTCATCTCGCCTCTTTTTATACACTGCAACTCCTCGTCCGTCTTTTTTACCCCGACTCCCCCTACCTAAACACCAGGGGGGTGGTTTGGGGACCTGCGTGGTAGTTTCCACCCCCTTTGCAGCCCTCGAGCTGTCGAAAATTAAGCGGTAAGAACATAAAACGGCGTTTAAGCAAAACAATTTAGCGGGAGTGCCGCCGCCAACGTGCTCAATTTGCACACCCTCCGCGGCGTTTTTTTTTCTTTTGACGTTTCTCCGTGTTGTCGTCCCGTGCTCCCCAGGGGGCGCTACAAGTGCCTCTCGGACAAATGGCGTCGCAGGAGCACGGGTGAGTTCACGCAGTAGGTGACAGATGCCCGAATTACGTAAACAAACAGCGGAAAATGTTAGGAACATTAGTTGATAAGTAGGTTTTCCATGCAAGTTTTTGGAAATGACAAAAATGTGTGCTCTGATATCCGGAGAATTTTTTTTTTCTTCCGAGTTTATTTGTGACTTTCGTGCATGGTAGAGGAAGGTGAGGACCTAGGGTAGGGATCCTTGACAGTTCTGTTTGACCATTCGTTTGACATATTTGAATTTGATTTAATTTTTTATAATTTAATTATTTTTTTTTAACCCAATTTACAGATTTTAGGGGGAGGCCGGGCCCCATGAGCCCCCCCTCTGTATCCGCCACTGCGAGTAGCAGCTGTCTTAAATTTAAATATTTCTACTGTGCTTGTTACATCAATTACTAAAATATTAATTATTAAATTAAAAATAAAACGTAAAAATCTTTAAAAAGTTATATAAATATATCGTTTTCCAATTTTACATTAAGATTCATCTCATAAATTCATCACAATCTGGCAGCGCTGTCGCCATCGCTTCTCACTTAGATGTCAAAGAATTTAGATACGTCAATTTGACTTACCTGCTTCAGTAGCGTATCGTATGTTTGTGTTAATAAATAATTATTATAACTTATCTATTTTTATTGGAATTATATATTTTTATAACAATTTTAATAACAACCAACTTTAATTGACAACCTAAAATAAAACAACAAATTACTGAATCTAGCTTACATTATATTTTTACACGTTTTGAATAAAATTAGAACTGTACTGATAAACTGGGATTTAAGTCGGCCATTTTTGGTCCTCATCGCCTAAGTTTTTTTTATTTATTCCTTACTCAGTCTTTTTATTTAAAGTCTGGAAAATATATTTCCTATATGGTATAAAAGAGAAAATAGACAAATTAGAAAACGATAATATTTGGCAGGTCAAAAATTGAAAAATTCCACTTTAATGTCAAGTTTATTGTAACGAACCAGACAGACCACCAAATTTCAGCTCTAATAGCTTGTCTTATTAAACTTTAAGTATCAGTCTAATCCCAGTTTAATAACCTGAGCTTATTGTTTCCACTATTAAATCGATTAAGCATGGCTGCCACCCAGTATCGCTACAGGGTGTTTAGAATTAATATAGATAGTTAATTTTTTTTTTCCATAGCAACTATTAAAATTGCCTTATTCTTATATCTATCAAAAATAAAATAGTAGATTAAATGATACTGTAACAGCGAGGGTAGGTTAAAAACTTTATTTCTTCTCGCACGTTTTTTAATTGCTTCCATTTTTGAAAATTTTTGTAGGTATTCCTTTTCATAAGTTATTCGGGATTTAAATGGAAGTAGTTTGGATATGGCGTTTGTCGCCTCAGCCTGAATATCTGTTGGTAATTTGCTTATTTCGTTTTGAGTCATTTCTGGCTCCAATTCAATCAGCAATCGACACGAAAGAGAATAAAAAAATATTGACTCAAAACTAACAACTAAAGAGACAGCTTTATTTATTTGTCAAATTACATAGAAACCAACGCCAACCCAGCACAATATTTTTTCTACTCATAATAAATTCCTTGAAATAATAATTTCTGAATATTTTTTAAAACGTAACTCGCTATGGAAAAAATATTGTTTGATACAAGACGATAAAATTGCATTATCGTCTCCCGAAATTATTGTCTTGTATAAAAAATAACTAATACTTGATACTATTTATTTCTTATGCAGTGTCACAGATAAAATTTGCATTATAATAAGTGTTATTTTAAATTATTGACTTAGATGAAATTTACTCATTTAGCGGTACTGTTTATGCTGCCTTCTCCATAGCCCAATGCAGAGTAGATAGGACTTTATGTTTCTGGAATTTTTCTGATATTCAATAAAAAATTAAATAATATTTGCTTGTGTCCGAAAAATATATTTGAATACATTTTTTCTCAAAGAAACTTAATATGCACTTCTAAAACAGATATTATAATTTTTATATCTTCAGTTATTCGTCATATTGGTCACAGTCATTACGCTGACCAGTGGTTGAGCATACATTCTCACAAACAACAGAAATCATTAGAAGCAATGCCGATGGTATCACGGCAACAACAAGCATTGCAAACAAAACAAACAAAAACCTCCCCCATGGGTGTTTCTAGTCAACTAATTCGTCGGGTGACGCTGACAAATGGAGAGTTCTATTAAAAATGGGGGAGCAAAACAAATTATCCCCCCCCCCCCAAATACGAAAGGAATAAAATATCGGCTAACCTGAATCCATATTCGATCTAGGAATGTCTATCTTAATGAAAATATATCGATATAGAGGATTCTATTGAGGGATGCTTTGTTTGAAAATTATGATCCCCTTCCTGTTGCTTCACGAAGTGACTACTACCGTCTATCCGTTCGTTCATTCGTATTTAAATATGAGCTGTTATTTTTTATATAAACCAATCAAATTCCATAAAATCAATTGTAATCGTAGCGTAGATGGGTAAGCAAAAAGGCTTAACCATCTACGATTCCTGCTCAAATTTAAAAATTATTTGACTAAAAAAAAATTCGATACTTTTAAACATCCCTAATTCGAACTGACATACTTGTACAGACTTTAAATAATAGATTTACGGTCGTATCGAGACTTGTTGTTTCTGACAACTATGGTTTACTCCCCAAGGCTTTTCTACTTATGATTTATGTCACTCCGAGTATACAAATAGGCTATTAATCTTTTGTGTTTTATCAGAACGCTGATTATAGTGGTTTTGTTAAAAAATAACGTGTTCAACTAGTTTACTATCGATTCTGTGACCGATGGAATTTCTTTTTAGCTGTTTGTTAAGTAAAAAAATCAAACTAATGGGTTTTAGCTTTACACTGTAAAAAAAAATGAGTGAAATTTCACTCAGATTTCACTCAATACTTTCTCAATTTCTGTCCACACCCGATTGAGTGAAATTTCCACTCTACAGAACCGAGTGAATCTTCAATTCTCAGAGTGAAAAGCACTGAGTGTTTTCACTCAATCGAGATTAGACGAAAGACTCCTTTTTACTCATATTGTTTACCTTGAGTAGGATTTTGATCGATTTTGATAATTTATTCACTTTAAAATGAGTGAACTCACTAAGTGTTGAGTTCAAGACACCTTTTATTGAGTGACTTTTACTCAAATTTGTGTTACACTTAACTCGATTAGTACTCATATCTGAGTATTAATTTCACTCAGTATTGAGAAATATATTCTAAATTATTTTTTTAAAAGCTATATGTAAGCTAACTTGTTATTTTATAACAGGTGGGCAGGTGCCTTTCAAAGGTAAGTTTCAGTTTAGGACATGGTCTCGAACATGTCCATTTCCTAAAATTCACTTTTGGGAGGCATCTGGTCACTTGTAATAAAATAACAAGTTAGCTTACATAGCTTTTAAAAAAATCATTTAGAATATTTCGTTTTTTTTAACAAACCAAATAAAAAACTGTAGAACCTTCAAAAATATTTTTATTTGTCATTTTTATTTGACAAAAAAACAAATAAAACCAAATATAACACTATTATTATAATATCAAAAACATTTTAAAAAGTTTTCAACTCTTTTTGGAAAAAATACAGGAACTTTTTAAGCTAGATGTCTAGAAAAGTTGCATCACATCGCAAAAATCCGCTTTATTAAGAGCATTCGTCAGCTCGGCTACCAACATTCTCGAATATTTCTAATTTCTAAACTAACTTTTAATAACGAAAATCCTCCGGAAAATCCAGATACTTTTCCTCCTGAAAATTAAAAAAAAATGTTATTCTGCCAAATGTTCCAGTTCCCAGTTCCAGATTGAGGGAAAGTACCTAGATTTTCGCTACGCTAATTAGTCCAGGAAACATCCGAGCATTGCGGCAATCAGTAGACGCAGTCGAATTTGAATATATGTTAGGCGGATTTCTGCGATGTGAAAAAAAATGTTCTTAACATAAAACATATTTAGGAGTTATGAGTTCGTATTCGCTTCACCACGCCACGCGGCCACTGTCACACTTTACATCACACACACATACACTATGGACTTGTAACCTGGGCACCTTCGAAGGAACAAGACAACCTACGACTCGAACAGATAATTAAAAACTGAGGAACAGGGAAATAGCTTATTCGGTATCGAAGAAGCGCGTATGACGTATGATTAGTAATGAGCGAAAATACTCTAAACTGGGTGATTTCACTCAAATTTTTGTTGTGTAAAACTATAACATGAGTTTTTAAGTGAATTTTTCTATTCCATTACTCAAAGATAGGGGTTATAACTCGAACATGAGCTTATTCAATAGCTATTGATTAAATAGAGATCATATTTGAGTAAAATGATGAATTTACTCTATTTTAGATAAAAATGTACTCAATTATTTCACTCAAAAAATTCACTCCCTGAGAAATATGTGTTCACTCAGGCTGATTTTTTACAGTGTATTTATGATAATTTTCTACATGAGTTGATTATAAAAGATTGACTAACCAATAGTTATATTGTGAAATTAAATTTTTTTAGAAATTGTGGTTAAAAATCAAAAGTTGATTGTTTTATCAGCTAAATATTGGGCTTTCTCTATGGATCCAACTGATTACCGCAAGCTGTTGCTAGGATATTCTATTAATTTTAATTATGTTTCTTAAACATTTTGAATGATCGTAAAGTAAAAAGTATAAAGTGTACTTGAAAATTACTTGAAACACTTAATTGGAAATTACTACAAATAATTTTGATGTTGTTAATGCTGAAATTGAAATTAGAGGAACAATCTTCTACGCTAATTGAAACCACTAATTTGTTCTACTAATTTCGAGTTTCTCAATTTATTAATGAAGTGAAACCAAAAAGCTTCAAACTCTTTGAATATAATTTGTATTAAAAAATATATAAAAATTCTCGGAAAAAATTATAGAAATTGGGAAACAGTATCTGTAGATTAGGAACCTTAATTTCAATAATTATTTCAATTTTAAGAAATAATGTAAGGATCTATAAAAGACGAAAAGATAAAAAAAACTTCAAATTCCAGTTTCATTCAAACGTTTGTCACTACCCAAAACGACCACAATATACGAAATTGTCATCGAAAACTTCTTCTGAATAAAAAATCTGGTTTTCGGAAATACACTACCCAGGTAGCAGACTTATTATCCCTTAATGATAATCCTCAAATCCATTATCGAAAGGTGATTCAAAAAGGAATTTAAATCCTTTGAGCGTATACTATTGCTTAGCCTAATGATGGGAATTCCCAAAGAGGTGACAGTGAACATTGCTTTTAAACGATGATTATGACGGCACTATTGTGACATGGTGGGGATTTTGAATAAATTATTATTCTTGATACCAGATTAGGGCATTTAAGACCCTTTGCAATTTCCAGCAATAAAATCAAATGTAATTGGTACTGAATGATATTTTTATTGTTTTGGGGTTGAAAGATATTTCTATTTATAGATCTCAGCAATGTATAATTACAGAGCTTTATAATTATACCTAGTGGTGAATTATAGTACACCATAAAAATATTTATTTGATCAAATACATAAATCGGTGAAAATAAATGATAAACAGTAACGGTTTGATGAAACCTAACGAATCTTCTTGAAAAGAAAAAGCGAGTAGTGAGGAAACATTGCATCATTTCTTTTTCACACGCACACACCGAGTGTTCTTAGTTCCTGAAATACAAGGTGAATTTTAAAATATTGCATCTTTCGACCCTCTTCGTATCTTGGTTTTATGTCCGAGATATGGGGGGAGTCGAAAAATGCAACAATTTCAATTTCGCCCTGTATTTCAGGAACTTAGAGGGCTAGGACAAATATATGTGTACCATTTATAGTTTCATAAAAAAGTAGCATAGCAATGTGAAAACCGCATCTTTGTACTTCTGCTCATAAACGAGTAACCCTGTAATACACGCGAAAATGGGTCATCCTGTACAAAGTATCATAAAATTTAATTTAGTATAAGTTGTGTTTTTATGTTCTTTATGCTTTTATGTTTATTTTTGTATTGCTGATTATATTAGTTATTCTGAAAATAAATCGTTTTGTTTTAAGATAGTTTTATTCTCATCTGTATCTACAATAAATTAATAATGATTCTTGGTAAAAAAATCGCCTAATTGGAATACAAGAAACGTAATACTAACATTTAAAAAAGGTGCTTAAATTGAATTCTTGTTATCTTGACTTAAGGAAATTATATTGTTTTATGTCATTTTACTGACTTAACTTGCAGATCATCATGATTTAAGTCAAAAATATAGACTTAAGTAATAAAAATGACTTAAATAACGTAATATTGATTTAAGTCTTTACAAAAATGACTTGACTTGAAATAAAATTGTCCTTTATGTTGAATTTGTTATGTTGAAAATTTGAACTTTATGGTGAATTCGACTTAAGATTTAAATCATTTTGATTTTGGAAATGACTTAAGTCTTTTTAAAACTGACTTGTTACAGCTCTGATTACTACCACTAATTATAACGTGCTGAATGTTTACATTGCAATTGAGGAACAAACTTCAATGCTAGCTTTAATTTTGACCATGAGCCATCACTTTGACAAACTTTATAACTTATTCTCTATCTTGTACACACTTAGTCCTGTCGAAAATGCCGGTTTTACGTATTCAGATAAGGCAAAAAGGAACAAAACGGTGGAGCAAAACAGTAGCACCGGTACCACGAAGCTTCTCGCTCTTACCTGGCGTTAATTACAGCTTTAAAATATGATATACGGCCCCTTTCAGGCCTGCAGACTACCGGATGGCCGGCAATCTGCGTCGGATCTCGCTCTGTTGTAACTTATTTTGCCCGCTGAATACATTTTTCTGCTTTGCAACGAAGCATAATGTCAAAAGCTTTCGAGATATTTCGTTCTCTTATTTTTACAAGATATCAAAGATAATATTTTTGATTTTCTTAAGATTAGGAGTAGTTGATTGTAATGTTTCTATACAACTGTTACTTTACAATTGGCCTTTGTGATCAATATCGGATATAGTATAATTCTATATCTTTAAGTTCCTTCTTCATTTGTGGAAAAAGTACCTAGCCATCAGTTTTACATAAAACGTTAAATGCCGAACGCTTATTTTGTTACTTTTTCGGACTATATTATTTTAATTACAACCATACCATTAATCAAAACGAATTTTTAAAATAAAGAAATGTGCTAAAAATGCCTAAATATGTAATTTTTCCAACCTTCAAATCCAATACCTACATCACTTTTTTCAATTTTGAATTTGTAATCCATTCTTTCGAATTGTTATCAAAAAGAAATATTTTTTTTTAGAAAGCGATGATGCCGAAGCCATATATACCCTACCAGGACTTAAAGGAGATGCAGAAAAGGCAGAAATAAAAGAAATGAGAGAAGAAGACTGATGTAAATGGTTGAAGGAAATGGACGAGAAAAATAAAGGTTGTTTAGCTGTAGCTAGAGATTAATATGTATCTATTCTAGTTTAACATTATTAAAAGCAATATATTTAGTTGTTGATGATCTGAGATAAACTACTGTGTTCCCATCGATCACGGAACTCTATAGACGCACATTCCTAAAGTGACCAATAAAAAAGAACGATTGCAATTAAATAGTTAACTTACTCCCAATTCATTTGTGAATATATTTTCATTTTTTGTTAACGATTTCTGTACAAAACGAACAAATTTCAATACTTCTCCCATTATAGCTCATTCTCCGTCTCAATACACTCAAAAAAAAAAACATATAAAAGTAAAAAATTACAACATTGTATAGGTACTAAGTTATTATTCTTCCCCAACTCAATTTACTTGTTATTATTTATAATAGCGGCTAATAAGAGCAAATGGTGTCAAAAAAATATAGTTATATACTCGTAGTAGTGCTACAATTTGTAATAATAATTTTTATTTAAATTTCAACGAGTACAATCTGAATATTCTCTGGCACAAATTGCGAGAAGTACCACCACACTTGTTCGCAATTTTCGTTTAAAATCAAGCATATTTAACTATTTTGGAAGCCTACAAATTGATAGAAATAAAACGTACAACGTGATACCTAGTACCGTCTTAGACGCAAAATGCAGTAGTGTTTTCTACAATCGTGGGGTTTATTACGATATTTTTTTTATATTCTGTACAAAAACAACAAATCTCCAATACTTTTTAGCTTATAACACCTTATTCCAATACAAAATTAGCATTTACGACTTACCTATTCTTAGCTGCAGCCGCCCTATCCCTCTGCCTCCTGTTCTTGAACCAATTCCCAACCTGCGTGGGCGTCAATCCAGTCGCCTGCGCCAACTCCCGTTTTTTCGTCGGGTTCGGGTACGGATCCTGCAGATACCACTCCCTCAACAACGACCTGGTCCTCTCCTTGAAACAGTGCGTCTTCTGCTCACCGTCCCATATAGTCCTCGGCAACGGAAACTTTTTACGCACCCTGTACTTATCGACCGGTCCCAACGCTCTCCCCCGTAACTTCTCGGCCTCCTGGTAGTGCGCTTCCAGCCACATAGCCTGCAGTTTTCCATGGGAACCTTTGGTGAACTTGTGCGATTCCAGGATGGTGTATAACTCTCGGAAGTTTCCGCTGTGGAAAGAGACAATCGCTCTGGCTCTGAGTACTGCTTCGCTTTTGTTTAACTCCGCGACGTTTGGATGAGCTACAGGTAGTGACCAGAGGAATCTAGCTAGGCGTTCGATATCTCCTGATTCTTCCAGGGTTTCGCAAACTGCAGCTACTTGGCCTACCGAGAAATTCAGGGTGGGTAGTGCGAACAAAGGACTAGGAAGCAAGGGAGCGGGTGCCACGACTCCGGGGGATGACGAGGCATCAGAGGGGGCCCCGGAGCTCCCGGAACACAGCCCCAGGGCCATGTGAGCGGCCAGGATGCTCAGCTTTCTCACCTCAGCACCATAACAATCACAAACTTGTTCGTGTTTACTCTATGTATATATACACAACGACGCGCGGCGTTAAGTTATGTAACCAAACTTCGACCGCGAGCGCAACAGAACTAACACTCCGGTAGCTCAATACGCGGAAGATTTGAGTCCTGACTCTTTACGCTTGCGCCGCTGACTTAGCCCCACCCTCTACTTAATGCGCTCGACCAATAGGGTGAAGGTATTTGTGTAAAAAGGCGGGATTTGCGCGCGTGCCGGCTCAATAGCGTCCGGACCATGATCTCGGCTCAGATACGCCTTCTCTGTTATTCCAAGACTGCGGGCGGTAATCTCGTGGGGATAGGTGTCCCCCCCTTCGTCGCTGGTCCCCCCTGTTCTTTTCAAACGGGGGGAATGTGCGGAAGTTTGAGCTTTCCGGAGGGTGAGGTGGGATAAAGGGGGGTGGGGGTTCGTTTCGATACCTAGGCTGTGTATGGGTGTCGAGGATTGGGGGTTATACACGGTGGGACTGTTATTATTAGTGTCACTTGAAAGGGAGTCGGGTTGGTGTATTGATTAACGGCGAAAATTCCGATGTATATACAGGGTGTCCCAGAAATGAGTGCAGATATTTTAAGAGGTGGTAGATCTGGTCAAAATAAACATATTTTCTCTCTACCATTTTTAAAATAAATTGAAAATAACTGAGTTATTTAACTTTGAAAAGTTAAAAAAATAATCGCAACATTTTGAGAACCGCCGGCAGATATTGCCAACTACATCCAATTACCCGGATCAAGCCCGGATTTCAGTTAATTCGACGCACTGTGTTGCCATATGGACAAGAAAGTCTATGTTTACAAGTAAGTCATAAAATCACAACACCTGAGGAGTTTGCAGAGATGCATTACATTTTTAAGATTGTGATATTATTACATAAAATAAATTAAAAGTTAAATGTTTAAAAGTTAAATTAAAAAAACTTACCCAACATTAAAAAAGATACTTATGGCAGATCGATGTAACTGCGACAGTTCTCTTTTTCGATACACACTTAACTAAATACACTTCATTGTGCTGCTTTACTTGTACGTGCTATTATAAAAACTGCTAAAATAACAGTCCCCATTTTTAACTTAACACATTATTTTCGTATAGGCTTCATTACAATTTGAACCACTGATTTACAAAACACCTTGAAAAGCACACATTACACATTACTTTGAATCTTTCTGAATGAATAAATGTTGAGAATTATTGTCTTTTACCGCCACTTTACGAACTACTTTCAATCTAAGAAAATACATGTTTCACTCAACAATTTTAAATACGTATTTTGCTTTTTCGCTATTTTTTCGATGTATTTCGACAATTCCGTCAACAGCTCAACTATCTGTCTGCCAAGACAGCCACGCATCACTGGTTGGTAACTGCTCACTGCTTCTTTGTCGCGCCGGCGTGTCGAGCTTGCGTCATGCGAGGTTGCCGTAGTTTCACCAATTTCAAATTCAAGACACTCGAAGCAATCAAATTCTTATTAAATTTTAAAAATAAAACAGAAAAACATGAAAGGAAACAGACAAAACACAAATGAATTGATTATTGATAAGGTCACAAAAAAGAAATTTCTAAATTGTTTATCGTAATTCAGAATTCAATATATCGAAAACAGCCCGACGAATAATCAATTCATTTTCGTTTTGTTTGTTTCCTTTCATGTTTCTCTGTTTTATTTTTAAAATTTAATACAAATTTGATTGCTTCGAATCTCTTGAATTTGAAATTGTTGTAACTACGGCAACGTTGCTTAACATCGTCGTCTGACGCAAGCCTGCCACGACGGCGCGGCTCAAAGGACCAGTTCACACGTGGCACTCTTCACGTCACACGTCGTCTGTCAAAATACATCGAAAAAATAGCGAAAAAATAAAATAGGTATTTAAAATTGTTGAGTGAAACATGTCTTAAATTGAAAGTAGTTCGTAAAGTGGCGATAAGAGACGGTATTCAAAGTAATGTGCGCTTTTCAAGGTGTTTTGTAAATCAGTGGTTCAAATAAAACAGAGAAAAACGTGAAAGAAAACATATATTGAATTCTAAATTACGATAAACATTTTAGGAATTTCTTTTTTGTGACCTGGTTGTGAATAATATGATGAATCATTTTCGTAAACGTCATAAACGTAATGTTTTAGTTAATTTTCGGTGGTTTTTGTTAAGTTTTCATTGAAAGGGTAAGTACTAAAAATAATAAATGTGTTTTTTTTTCTATAATAATTATTAATAATGAGCACTGAGGAAAATTTAACATTCTTAATTTTTGAGTAGAAATTTTTCTATGAATTTATAAATGTAGAACTATGTAGAATGTGGATAACATAGGAGGTTACAACACTGCATGGTTTAGATACACCGTAGAGAAATCTCAGGTGAATAAACAAGTGGCACTAAAAAGTTTTTTCAAATTTCCCGGAAAATGTCAAGAAAAATTTTAAATTTTCAAAATTTTTTTTTCGAAAAAAAAACCTCATAGGCGTGTTTCTGGGGTTGAACTATACTACCAGTTAAAATATCTGCACTTATTTCTGGGACACCCTGTATATATACGTCGCGTCGGGTTGATATACGGGTGATTTGTTCTTTTTCGATAAATAAAAATGTGTGTGGAATTTCAGTTTTTGGCTTGAAAAATTTATGGATTTTTTATGGAATTTTTTTTCAAATATTAAATTTGATGTTGTGAATACAAAAATTAAAATAAAATTTTGTTAAATTGCAGAGTTTTTTGTGTTAGATAACAACATTCGTTAATTAAAACTTTAATAATCATTGTAATGATTCTAAAAGTATACACTTAGGTGCGTCTCATTCGCTTCGGTTCATTCTACAAAAACGGAAATATACTGTATATTTCAGAACTAAACATTTTTTTTTTCTTATGGAATCATCCAGTATTTTATTTCAGTTTTGGAACCCTGGGCGTAAAAAATGTAATTTACCTACTATACCTACCTAGATTATTTAAAAATATGCAATCTATAATAAATAAATTTGTCAACACCCTGTATATTACTTTTCAGAATTAATTTTTGTTTTGAATTTTAAGCCAGAGAAATATACTTTACTGAAAACTTGTATTGCTTTCTTTAATGTATACAGGGGCATCAAAAATTACTGGTCTATTTATATTTATTGTTCTTTTTTTATTATTTCTAATCCGACACATCATTACACAACACAACATGTTATCATCCTGATAAGAGAGTTTGTGTGAAAAACTACCTAAAAGAAAGAAAACTTAATAAGTTTCCTTTGTTGATAATATCATGAAAATCAAATTACTTTTAACCGTAGGTACATATTTTTGTTAAATATATTATACCAATTTTGATTGTTTTTCCGAAAAAAAAAGTTACCTACCTACTTGGCTAGAATTACGAAATATTATTTTTAATTTACAGATGCACTCACCCTGTACAAAGCCGGTCTATCCACTACTCTTCCGTGTCCACAACGGAAGCAAATTTTCCTCCATCCCCTATACGACTCCCCCCACTATCCCCTAAATGTCCATATCCCCCACAGTCTGCTCAGTTAGACTCCCCAAAACGGTGACAGGTGGAGTAGCATTGAAAGGAGGAGGAGGGAGGATACTGATTCCATTCTATCCCGCTTCTCCTTTTTGTGTCCTCGTTAGTCCTCCGGTCCTGGATATTATTCCCTTTCCGAAATAAGGTCTCATGGGGATACCTAGACACAGGATTTAGTTGGGTTATTATCTACTGGGTAGTTTTGTTAAAAAAAAGGCTGGGGTTTGATATTCTAGCACAGTATGAGATATTTACTTAATATTATAACATTGTTTAATGTTTGTAAGTTCTGATTTTAACCATTATTCTTAACCTCAAACTTAATGCCATTATAATTTATTTTAGACAACAAGTTTTCAGATAAAAGTTGTAGTAGAGGACTGAGTCCTCCTTTAAAAATAACTATTTATATACTTTTAGATTTATATCCTTTTTTAAATAACTATTAAATACGTTGAAACTTTCGCATGGCATTCAACATACGTAGATCTAAAGCACGCTACTTATTTTATTCAAAATAATCAACATTTAAATTTTCTGCAATTTTTTTTGTAACTACTATTCCAAAATACTTTCACTTCCTCTATCCTATTACTCTGAGGATTGTTCTGCTTTTAATCGCCCTATTACGTTGCAGGGAGTTAAAAAAGAGACTAGATCGGGGTAAAAGGAACTCTGTCATCAAATTACAATATTTATGACGTCGTATTCAAATTGGTGTCGCATCAATAATGTAAGATCGTTACAATTACGCATCGTTCACGCTCGGCGACGTTGGGATCATCGACACGTGCCGATCGCTGTGCTCCCCTTTCAATTTTCCTCTCTTACGCGGAGGGAAGGAGGGGGGATCTTTCATTGGGAGAAATGAGAAGGAACTGTAACAATTAGGAGTGTATAGGTGGAACGTATATTTCTGAAAAGTAATTCACGCAGAAATAGAGGATGATTTTTTCCTTAAATTGTTTGAGATTGAAATTGTAATTGTAACTTGTAATTATTACTGCTACTGTTGATTGTTTGTGTTTCCCTTTCTTGAGTTGAGGATTTGACAAAAGCTAGTATCTGATACGGTTTTCCATCTCTGAAAATGATAGGATTGGAGGATGTAAACCCGTAGAAGAGGACCACAATAATATGGAAAGGTTGGCCATCTGAAAAGTCTAATATAATAATTATTGAATCTACACTACTTTTTTAATAGAATTAAATATACTGAATTTAATAATCAATGTTAAATGTTCGAATTTAAGAACATAAATATTATTTTAGAAAGGGCGACTTTCACAAACCTAAGATTTGTCAGCATACATGGGACACAGGGCACAGAACAGATTTTAACAACGCCAAAATTATAATGAAAGAAGCAATAGCCTCTAAAGAAAAAGAAAAGAGGCTTTTTTAATTCAATCTAATAAAAATAAATGTATTGCTCATGAATCTGTAGATGTTAGTAATGTATTGCAATCGCTTCTTTGATTTTAAAGGACATAACATACGTAAAAATTAAAAACAAATTAAAAATAATCATACAGAAAGTTTGAAGCT